GTGAAAGCCCTGGGTTCCATCTCCAATACTGAAAAAATACTTTAAAACCCTACCAGGTACACCCCATAGTGGTGACTAAATTCCACCACACTGCACGTTGGGGGCACACCCACATCCAGACGATCTGACTCAAGCCACAGCAGCAGGGAAACTGAGGCACAGCCCAGAAAGCTCTGAGGACAAAGAGCTGAGAGTCCCGAGGGACCAAAGCAAGCTCGGTTCGGTTCATAAGGCAGAGGATCGGGGAGCAGGGGCAGCCGCAGAGACCTGCAGAAGCCTGGAGGATGCAGACCATGGAGCTGGGAAAGAATCGGAAAGCCTGAGAGGGAAGAGTGCTTCGCACGGGGGTGCCCAGATGGTGCCGGAAGTCCTGCTCACCAGAGGCCGAGGGTTGGGTACTAAAGGGTGTGCACCTTCTGGTGGGGAATTTAGCCTATACTGCAGCCCACTCCAGGGCTGCCTAAAGCACCCATAGACACAAGACCTGAATGCATCAAATTGATTCCAATAACTTAAATTGTATACTGGAGTAAAGTTCTAGAAGATTGACAGTTATACAAAAATAACCAGCTTCCCAAAAAGGCAAAATCTGGGGAAGATTCAGAAAGACTTGGTGTCAAATTTCTTTTTTTTTTTTTTCCTTGGTTTTTTTCTAGTACTGGGAATCAAACTCATGACCTTGCACTTGCCAGGCAGGCACTGTGCTGCTGAGCTAAATCCCTAGCCCCTTCAAATTTCTTTTTTTTAAAAATTCTTTTCCTTTAAATGTTTGGGAGAATTCACCAGGAAAGCCATCTGGGCCTGGAACTTTTTGGGTTTGGTTTTGTTTTTGTTTGGGGTGGTGGGGATGGAAGCCAGGGCCTCCTGCAGGCCAGGCAAGTGCTCTACCACAGAGCTGCACCCCAGCCCTGGGCCGCAAGTTCTCTCTGAAGGAGAGTTTTCAACTACATTTATCCAGGGTAAATGTCCCAGTTACCCAGGACTCTGTCCCAGTTATTCATGTCTTTTTTGAGACAGAGTCTCACTATGTAGTTCAGACTGGCCTTGGCTCACTATGTATCCCAGGCTAGCCTTGAACTCTCAGCAATCCTCCTGCCTCAGCCTTCTGAGTTCTGGGGTTACAGCTGTGCACCACCACGCCCAACAATTCATGTCTTCTTCAGGGGGCACTGGTGATTGGGGTCTTTCAAAACAATTGTTCATTTTATCATTTGTTAATTTAGTGTCATAAATATGCTCCTAATTATCTTTTTAATGTCTATAGAATCTGTAGTGATGTCATACCCTGTTTCTTTTCTGACACTAGAGATTGAATCCAGGGCCTTCTCACTGAGCTTTATACACCTGGTGACTTTTGATTGGACAAAATGTTGTGAATTTTGCCTTTTTTTTTTTTTTTTTTCCAATAGTGGGAACTGGACTCAGGGCCTTCACACTAGCTACATCCCCAGCCCTTTCATTATTTTTAATTTTGAGACATGGTCTCACTAGGTCACTAAATTATCCAGGCTGGGGTTGAATTTGGGGTCCTCCTGTCTCAGCCTCCCAGAGTGCTGAGACTACGGCTCTGCAGAACCATGCCCAGCTTCTTTCCGGTTTATTTTATGAGGCCAGCATCATCCCGGTACCCAAGCCAGGCAAAGCCATCACAGAAAAAGAAAACCACAGACAAATATCCCTCATAAGCATAGATATACCATTTCTAGGTAAACTTTTAGCAAATGAAATTTTACAATATTTTAAAGATAATACATCATAACAGGGTAGTGACCCATGACTGTACTCTGGGCTACTAGAGATGCTGAGGCAGGAGGGTCACTAAGTTTGAGGCAAGCCTGAGCAATGAAGCAATATCATCTTTTTTTTTTTTTTTTTTTTTGAAGCAATATCATCTTAAAGTTAAAAAAAAAAAAAAAAGAGAGAGGTCTGGGGATGAAGCTCAGAGGTAAAGAGCCTGCTAGGTTTGAGTCCCAGTACTGTTCCCCCCTCACAAAAGTTGAAGAGTTTGGTTTCAGAAAGTGAACAGCTGGGTGTGGTGGCGCACACCTGCAATCTCAGCACTTGGGAGGCTGAGGCAGGATGATCATTGCAAGTTTGAGATCAGCCTGGGCTGCAAAGTGAGCTCAAGGCCAGCCTGAACTGCACAGCAAGACCCAGTCTCAAAAAGACCAAAAAAAAAAAAAAAAAAAAAAAAAAAAAAAAAGTGGGGGGAAGGGTTGGAAGGGGACACTTTTTGTCTACAAGCAGAGGGCTGAAGCTGGTGGTAGGAGAGAATCTCACGTTTGCAGAGAGCAAGTTTCAAGCTATGGATGTCATTTCCCCTGGTTAATTTCTCTCATTAGCTCATGAGCTGAGTGCAACTTCAATCAAAATTTCAGTGGGATGTTTCTTATACTACTTGGCAAAAAGATTTTAAAATTGATATGAAAGTCAATGTTATGACTAGCGAGAATTTTGTGAAAAGAACAGAGAACAAAGCAGAGAGATGTGATTGAAAATTACAGCAAATCAGAAAGAACAGTTGAAAACTTGTCTTATTATACAAGAATAAAACTGTACAAACAAATCGATTCCAGAAGTCGAACCACTGTGTATTTATGGAAATTCATGTTTTTTTTTTTTTTTTTTTTTTTAGACAGAGTCTTGCTACGCAGATCAGGCTGGACTTGAGCTCACTTTGTAGCCCAGGCTGGCCTTGAATTCACAATGATCCTCCTGCCTCAGCTTCATCATTTTCTTTAAACACACACATGGAGTCAGCGGAGTTTGGTGGCACACGCCTGTAATCCCACCACTGGGGGGGGGGGTTGGTGGTGAGGCAGGAGGATCTCTGCGAGTTCAAGGCCAGCCTGGGCTACACAGTGAGACCCTGTCTCAAAAATAAAAGCAAATGAACAAAAAACAAAAGCCTATCAGGTTTTGAGCGCATGTCTGTAATTACAGCACTCTGGGAGGCTGAGGAGGACCACAAATTTGAGCCCAGTCTGGACAACCGAGTGACTTGGTGAGAACTCCATCTGAAAAAATAAAGGGCTGGATGGATATGCAGCTCGGTTAGGATGCCCTGGGTTCCATCCCCAATACTACCAGAAAAGAACAAACAAATAAACAAACAACCCCCCCCCCATTTGATAATAAAATAGAAAAACCCAATGGTAACTATGAATCTTGCTCCTGATTGGCCAAACTGACTTTGGGGCTGTTGTGTTCGGAGCCTCCAAGATCAAAGGCGGGCCAACAGTGCCACCCAGTGTCTGTGATTCACATTGCAGTGATGTTCTTCCCTCCCTGAAGTCAAACCAAAACTGTTTTCTTTTGGACATCCCTTAAAAGTAAAATGTTTTGTTTTGTTTTGTTTTTTGTCTTTTGGAGACAGGGTCTCGCTATGCAGTTCAGGCTGGCCTTGAGCTCACTTTGTAGCCTAGCCTGGTCTCGAACTCACAACAATCCTCCTGCCTCAGCCGCCTGAGTGCTGGGATTACAGGCGTGCGCCACCACGCGTGGCTCAAAAGTAAAATGTTTTAGGGTTTTCGAGTTTTAAATTTTTTTTTTTTTTTTTTTTTTTTTTTTTTTGGTTTTTCTCCGGTACCGGGAACCGAACTCACGACCTTGCGCTTGTCAGGCAGGCGCTTTGCCGCTGAGCTAAATCCCCAGCCCCTCGAGTTTTAAATTTTAACAAGAAATAATTTTTAGCTGGGCATGGTGGCGTATGTCTGTAATCCCAGCACTCAGGCGGCTGAGGCAGGAGGATCGCTGGGAGTTCCAGATCAGCCTGGACTACAAAGTGAGCTCAAGGCCAACCTGAACTGCATAGCGAGACCCTGTCTCAAAAAGACCAAAAAAATTTTTTTTAAAAAAAGTCTTTTATCTGTTGTCCTTATTGGGTTTGTAAAAGAGCAAGTGTTTTGTCGTTGTTAGTTTCTTTTTAAATCAGGGTCTTGCTAGATAACCCAGCCTGGCCTCAAACTCACAGTGATTATACCACCACAGCTTCTCCAGTGCTGGGAGTACAGGTGTGTGCCACCAGACCTGGCTTTTTTTGTTTTGCTTTTGTGTTGGTTGCCACTGTGGCCGAAGGGAGTCCTGATTCTGCCATACTGCTGGGCACGAGACAGGGGCCCTCTGAAGGGACCACGGTGCTGGCATTTGTCCCTTGGCCTCAACCCCACTGGGTGAAAACTGCGTCTCAGGCTTCCAGCTCTTCCTCTCTTCTTCTTCTTTTTTCCCTCCTCCTCTCTTCTGAGTGGCTCATGTGTGGCTCTGTGCCCGAGGTTTTGGGTAGAAATTTAAAAATACGTGGCACGCACTTGGGATAGGAAGCTTGAGGCGCTGTCAGGCCGGGACCTCAGAGCCACGAGAGTGGAGGCCGAGAGCGCGCGGCGCGAGCCCCTGTGCCGGGCAGGGTCAGCGGGGAGCGAAACGCTCTCCAGGGCTGGAAGAGGACGGCCGCCTCCTCCTCTCCCTCAGTGTGGTCTGTCCGCGCCCCATTCCCAGCCACCCACGCAGCAGGCGGCCTACATCCGGGCTGTGGGATTTGCTGGCGGGGGCTCAGGGTAGGGTGGTTGCCCAACGTGAGGGGCTGGGTTTGGACCCCAGTTCCGCCAAAAGGGACAAAAAGTGGTTTTGGTGAAATTTGGGGCTGCCTATTTTGCTCGGTTGCCCAGGCTGGGCTCTAATTTGCAATCTTCTTGTCTGAGCCTCCCACAATGCTGGGATTACAGGCATGCTGGCTTTCTTTTTTTGCCCCCCATTTTAGAGGTGAGATTCAGGGAAGGGGGCATATGAAAGTGGGGACGGCTACAGCAAAGCCAGGTGAGAAATGTCTTAAGCCTGTGAAAAGGAGGAAACACAAGAGGAGTTGGAGGGCAGGTACCTCCCGGCTTTCTCCCGCTAAGAGGGAGCTGGTGGCCCTATCTCGCGATACCTGGGCTTCCCTCACCTCCTTTGCCTTCAGCCACTAACAAACATGGCCACGATCGTGGGGCTCTTCCGCCAGGACGTGGGGTTAAAGGTTACGTAAAAGATGGCGGCCCCCAGGCGCAGTTAAGGCGTGCAGTGCAGGATGGCTCTGGTGGGCCTAGGTCGTGCGGGCCGGCGGCTGAAGTGGCCGGGGCCCGGCCGCGGGCACTGGACGCCGGCCGGAC